ACCATGTACATGTTTTTAAAGTAGTCATTAATTACACAAAAACATTTGTATTATTTCGCTTTTTGTTTTAACTATCTCGCTAAAAATAGTTTGTATGACTGACATAAACTGAGCTCAGCTCTGGGGCAGAGTAAAGATTATCATATTCAAACTATTGTTTTGAACTAGAGGCGCTTGTTTCTTGTCAAATTTAACGACATAAGCATATGAAACACCTGGTTAAACAGACTTAGAAAACAATGGTTGGGGTACTTCAACCTACTTCTTGTAGGTTTGTGGTAAGGCTTCTTTCTACAGACCTAACCTGTGCTTCTGTTCTTTATAAATAGGATAGTCTTTGTAGTTTACGATGTAACCCACTACAGTTGCTTTACTCTTTGGAGTTGGTATCCTTTAGTGCTTTTTTATCGCATTCGGAACTACTGTGATTTTGTTCAAAAATCGAAAATGAGAAGCGAATGGCTCATTCTTGCATATAAAATTTCAAGCGCGAATGAGCCATTCCATCACATTCTGTATGAATGCGACCCAACGACGTTCGCATGCGTTCCAAATATGTTCCAAATGCAAAGGAATACATTGAACATATTGTAAATAAAAGCTCTTCATGACATTATGACAGTTTGAGAAAGCTGTTTAACAAATGTGCACAAATGTTTGGTGGTTGCATTTTCTTGAAAACGATGCAGCTCTTTTTATGACTTCTACTTCCCAAAAAGTTCATGCAAAATTTTTTTGGCACAGGCCAAAAATCAAATCAACAGGCAAGTCGAAAAATCAGCTGTTTGAAATGAGAACAAACGAATTACAACGAATGTAAATACTTTCAAATGGCTCAATCAAAATAAGCTATTTTCGAACAATGTAAACGCCATATTACTAAAATATATGCTAAACTCTTTTTTAAGCTAAAGGCGATGTTAAGCAAATTATTCTAATGGAATTTAAGTGAGTCTAAAATCGATTTTAAGGTGATGTTCAGACCGACACATGTAGCATATTAACTGACTTGGAACGAAAAGTGGTGTTGCAGAAATTCTTTTAACATTAGTTTCTTGCATTATTTTTTACAATTTTCCAATTGTACTGATTTGTGTTTATAAGAGGCCTTTTCTTTTGGAATCACAAATGAACTACTACTTATTTTAAAAATAACATATAAAAAAACAACACTGCTGGCTTATTTAGACCAACCTTTTTAAAAAAGCCTGATGTTAAAATACAAAAACGGACACGGAGATGATTTAAAAGTTGTAATTTTTTCTTTCAGAGTAGCAAAAAAATACTTGCAACTTACAAAAGAAAACATATGAAGCAACAACAATGCTCTTAAAATCTTCAGAGTTAGGGATTAGGCGAACAAAATTTTACATCTTAAGTTTCAGTGCAGCCAAATTCAAAAATCAAGCTATTGTGGAAATATGTTGCAAAATTCCAGTTGAAATCATATGATCATTTCATTTACTTATAAATTTAAATTCATAAATAAATTAATTTATTTAAGATAAAAATGTTTACCATTGCCATTCTTTTATGCAATTTGTTTTATTTCATTTAAAATTATTAATTTTTAATGCTTACAATTTTTATATCTTATATTGTACACTGCACAACAAAAAACATATGTTAAAAAAAGCACTTAACGTATTTTAAAAGTGATGCCAATTTGTTTCAACTAAATTTATATAGACACTTATGTCAATTTTGAATGAAAAAATGTCATTGTATAAAAGAACACATTTTTTTAGAGAGAGTTAAAAAAATAATAAATATTAAATTAATTATATTTAATCAATCATTTATAATATTTGCAATAAAATCATAAAAAAACTTATAGATTATTTTAGATTTTTTTCGAGTTTAAGTAAGGAACTGTCAATCAATTGCAAATTCATTAGAATAAAAGTAGTAGTTATTTTTTAAATCATTTAGTATTCAATATTGTAGCAGGATTATTAAAATAAAATAACGTGTCTTGTCATCTGAATGAATTTTTCACCTAAGGACCACATTTGTTGTTACTTTTAATGCTTCCGATTCTGTAAAAAAACATTCAAAGCAGCAACAAATTCAGTGATCGTGGATCATTTATTCATCTGTGTTACATAGCTCAATGAGAAACACATACATATACCTATCAGAGATGTTTAAGTCAAGTTTCTCTTGTGTACGCTAACACTATGAAATAAAAGTAAATGTTTTTTGTGCGAACACAGAAATTAGCAAATCGCAATTCATTTTCTAAAAGAAACATTATTTTCAAATATATTTTCTTTAAAAAATTACTCGAAAACAACACACACCTCTGAATCTAACAATTCCCAACTTCGATGTCGCAGGAACGAATAGATTTCAAACAAAATATTTTATTTAATTAAAAGTTTAATTAAAAGTTCGCACAAGAGAAACAACACGTCGAGTGAGACAACAGGTCAGCATCTGTAACTACTTAAATATAATTACATACATTTAACTTGTTCGTACGAACACGCAAGACAAAATTCGTTTACAATGTAACCGCTGGCTTAAAATAATAGTTAAATTGCAATGTAAATGTCAATCAACGAAAAAGCTTGACTAACGTGGCAACACTGCATGTGTTAATTGAAATTGTTTGTTGTTACCATATTGCACTGTCAAGACAGAATTGGTTGCACTATGAGAATAAGCTGACCCGTTCTACTTTATGGTGATCAATTTATTCGATCATTCGTGCAGAAGTAAAAAAAATAGGAGGAAATGTTTCATTTTGTGCTCTCCCTTTAACTTTTGCTCACGAAGACTCTGAATTAAATAATTCACTAATTTCAATAATCGCAAATCCAGATATTTGATGACTCCGGATTTGCAAAAAAACCAATTTCTTTTTTCAATTTCAGCGACTTCAGTTATTATTCGATTAATCGGATTCGCCGAATACTTCGTAAAACCGAATACGAACAGCACTACTAACTATTTAGTTACCGAGCTCGTTAGTAGTATGAAAGTGCATTCACACCAAAACGAACGCTTGTGAACGAACGAATACGAATGTTCGTTCGTTCACAAGCGTTCGCTTTGGTGTGGATGGGTCTTTAATGAAAATCTCTATTTTTTAAATTAAAAAATATTGTGTATCCAAAATGTTTAAATATAATAATATTATAGTATTAATAGTCAAGAATTAAATACAGGTGAATAGAATTCAATTAGAAAAAATGTCGAAATATAAACTACTACATATGTGTACTGTAAAAGCCATATATTAAAGCGAAATGTAAATTGAAAAAATTTAAATAAAACAATTTATTAAAATTAAGATATAATGGAAGTATGTATATATAGTGTAAAGATATATAAAATATTACTTTATACATTATTACTTAAATAATATTATTAATTGTGATTAATGTTTATTACAAACAATATCAAAATTTGCGTAGAGTTATTAACTTTTGTAAACTTTATTTAAAATTTGAAACGTTCTTGTACTCTCTAAAATACATAAACTATATGACAACTATATTGAATCACGGAATTTAATATATTTTACATATCATAATTGTTAAAAATGGTACGTACCTTTTTTTTAATTATTTATGACTAAATTTTGTTATAATTTGACATAACGCAATGCATTCTTGTCAAACATCTAACAAAATAAATTCATAAAATTATTTCGATATCAATACTACATGATAATTATAGCGATAGTTGGTGAAGTTAAAACAATTTAGCATGATTTGATATAGCGTTAATTTTCTTTTCACTAACTCCCTTATTAATTAATAAGCAAATTGTTAAAAAAATTTATTTCACAGTAATGTTTTATTTTCTTGGCATTATTTGGCAAAAAATATTTAATTTCATTAAAAATTGAATCAATTCAATAGCATTAAAATTGTGTTGTTCTCAGTATTAGAGTGCGGTTTTGCGCCAAAAACACGCCTTGGAGGGGTTTCAGCTAGCTCTGATTTAATCATTGTAGCCTTGTTTAGTATGCACACTTTGTCGTTTACGACACTAATATCTTTTAACTATTTTCGGCACTAATTTTGGCAAAACCGTTTATCGAAACAGTTCATTATATTTGAACGATTATGAAGTGAGCATTAAACTTTCGTAGTTTTCGGAATTCGAAATTAAAAGTTTAATAGAACTACAGATCGTACGTCGCAGAAACTTGGGAAATGTGCGCACTGCCATAAGATTGTCTTATGCGAGAAGGCGCTGCAAAGCATTCTGCGCAGGATATTAGTATGAGTTTGATTATGTGATAAATATTTAATAGTTATTTTATTATAGTTATTTTGATATTATTTCCTTGATAAACTGTCACATACGTGCAACTCAACATAATGGTGAAGTTGAAAAACTTGTGTTATACTTTTTCACCATATTATATGTAAGAATAAAGTAGAGAAAATAATAAAAAGCTAGTCATTAATTACACTTAGACTCGCGTATTTTACTCGTACAAAACATAAACTATCGAAAGTTATAAGGATGTCAGTAAAAACGTTAGTAGTATACGATTATAATAAAGTAAGATCAAATGAAAACCAAAAAAAATGCACATTATTATCCTATTGCAAGTTAATTTATACCAAACTTTTTCCATAACTTTATCTCGTTAAAAATACTAAATTTTAAATATAAAATCGCCTTTACGACAAACGTAACGTATTAACGAATTTTTTTTGTGACTACAAAATTAAATAAAATATATAAAAAATTAAAAATATTATAACACGAATCAACAGAAATGTGTATTTCACGAGTTTTTTAAGTTTTCTTTTGCAAAAAGGACTAACAGAAGTTTTTTTTTTTACAATTATATACCTATGTATATATTAAATATACACCTTTATTTATAAATATAAAAAATATTTTTTAAAATAAAAAGGAAAAATTACGAACAAAACATGTAAGTATATAGGTCTGAATTGATAAGAAATTTTGTAATATATTTATTAATCTCTTTAAATTTATAAGCATTATAACTATTTAGTTATACTTACATATACTTCTTCCCATTGCGAAACATATCGTACAAGTCTCGACAATCGTAATAAGCGAACTAAAGAGAGTAGTTTTGCTAAGCGTAGTATGCGTAAAGCTCGGCCAGCGTGAAGTATTTGAAATGAGTCCGAAAAATCCTGTAATTTCATTATCTTAATTTAAGAATTGAGGTCTGTAATTCAGTTTTACGTACTTGATTAAATATAAGAAATATGTAGTCGAGAGGTATTGATGAAATTAAATCAAGAAAAAACCAAGTTTTTAGGTAATGTTTTGCTATTAACTTTGGATCCAAAATAACTTGTTCCGCGTTGTCTTGTTGCATTATTCCTTTAAGTTGTTTTTTTATTTGCAATTAATAAGTAAAAAATTTATAATATATAAAAACTTATTTATTTAGAAAATTATTAATATAACAGTATAGTATTTACGCTTATATTTTTTGGAGGCTATTGCTGGTTATTTTTTTGCTGAGTGAAATTTTGACCTAATTGGCGAGCTGTTATTCAAATTATTGAACTATTTGTGTGTTATCAACAGTAATAATTTACAATGGTTTATATGTATATATATATATATTTCCGACTAAAAGTGACTTTTAGTTAAATAATTCAACGTTTGTTTAATATTTTCTATATGTCGACTCTCCTTGTCATCATCTGGATCGCGATCTAACATAAATTAATATTAATTAAACTATATCTACGTCATCCACTTTATTTTATTGTCTATATTGCATTTCTATTGTATATTGTCAGTGCAATATAGACAATAGAATAAAGTGGATGACGTAGATATATAGCGATCTAACATAAATTAATATTAATTAGACTATATCTACGTCATCCTCTTTATTTTATTGTCTATATTGCATTTGTATTGTCTACTGTCAGTGCAATATAGACAATAGAATAAAGACAATGACGTCGTAGATATAGTTTTATTAATGTTAATTTCTGTTAGATCCAGATGATGACTTTCAAGGAGAGTCGAAATATAGAATTATTAAAAAATATTATATATTTTATATGTATAAAAGCCATTATAAAAAACACGTCGATAAATAAATTCAAAACTTTGTAGTAATAATTTACTTTCGTAGTTCAGTAAAACGAACGAAAAAGATACATACTTGATTGAAATATTTTTACTTTTAGAATTAAAATAAATAATGATTGTAATTATTTTACAGATATTCTTTCAAAAGTATATTAACATTTAATATTTAAGTATTTAGAAAAACTAGTTTTTACAATTAGCCATATAATTAGCGCCAATTTACATAACCATTTAAATAAATCAACATAGTTTGATTGATCTGTAAAATTAAGTATATCTAACTAATTAAAATAATTTTTATTTCATTAATTTCATTATTTCATTAAAAATTTTAAATACTTTTCAAAATCTTTTTAAGTGATATGAGACTCCATACTGCGTATCATAATATAAAAATCGAAAATAAAAGACTAATGGAAGGTCTAATGAAAGGACTAATTGGTAGAAAATTAATGTTACATACATATATAGTAGTGTGGTGCGAAAATAAAAGTTGCGCATAAGTTGCCTCTAGTATAGAGGAGAAAACTGTTAAAAAAATAAAAATTACCAGTTGATATCTTCCGTTCGCGCATCGCCTCCAAAAGTTGGCAGAACTGATTAAATCGATCATACATACATATGTACAATTAATGTGGTTTCACTTTTGTTATTCAGCTTAAAGTTCAAAATATTTAAATAAATTAACAAACCACTGATATAATAATATAATATAAAACAACCTAGAACTTAACACGAGTAGATAGTTGCACTTCGAGATCCATCCATACCCTACCCAACCAACAATCCAAGTAAATGGAAGATATTAACTGATTAAGTTTACTTTTTTAGTTTTCTCCTCTATACTAGAGGTCAGTTTTGCGCACTATAGCGTTTCGAAAAAATTTTTTTTTATATTCCAACCACCTTTATATATATTATATAACTATGTAATGGCACAGAGTATAATTAACAATAAGAAGGTAAGTTAATTTCAAAATACAATACATCAAAATGAAACTGAACCTAACGAGATATTAATAACTTCGATTTAAAGCTAAAAACATAGTTTTATATTTACCAGTTCTGAAATTAACTACGATATCTATTAAAAAAATTGTGTCACTGAGGCAGTTGAAAGCAATCCATCTTGTGCTCAAATCATCGTTAAAAAATGATATCGCTACTGGCAGGATAATAAGATTAGCTACTAATAATAAAAGCATACAAAGGTCCCAATAAAATCTAAAATTTTATTTTGCATGTAAATTATCATTATAGCAAATTTATAAAAATATATATATATAACCTGAATGAACTGCATGGATGAATAACCCAATGACCTGAAGTTTTCTGACGTATTCTCTCTTTTACCAAAGCCTTTCGACTGCCAAAAAGCTTCATGGCTAGCCGATTGTCCGTTGGCTGAAACCATGATTGCAGCTGACTTTTTAAAAAATTTGCTGAAACTTTTTCTGAAACGATTGGAATAGAAGGCATCGGCTCCTCTTTGGGAGTTCCATACAACGACACATCATCAAAGTGAACCTGAAAAGAATTTCTTATGTTAATTACTTTAATTGTTAGATGTTATGTTAAGAAAATCTTAATAGTAAAATAAAGCATTTTTAAAAATTATTTTTATCTCTATCTTATTTTGGTTAACATAAGCTCCTGCACTTATAATACAAATTAAACCTTTGTTCTTGCCATTTCGCTTCCTTGATCGCATATTAGAAGAGCCTCATCATCAAAAGCAGTCACTAAAGAATCTGTGCAGGTGTTTTCGTACGATCGCTTAAAGTCGTTTTCATTCAACACAGAACAATAAGAACATCGAACAGATTCGTCGCTTTCTCCGCGCAGTAATCTAAAATTAGAAAGGAAATATCTATAAATCATGAATAATAATTAGAATGAAGTAATTAATTATTAAAATAAACAAAAAAAAATATCTTTTTATAGACAGATATTATTTTTAGACAAAGCAGAATAGTATGAACATTTGGATATAAATTTTTAAATGGAAAAGTAAGGATGTCGTACTGAAAATTTGAATGGAATACACAACGCCAGTAATGTCAAAGTAAAACAAATCCACGATTGAAAACTATTATAATATTACCTGAAACGTGAAAGTGATAAAGAATTTATTGGTAGTTACTGATCGCGATATATGGTATATTTAACAATAGAGTATAAATGAAGCTATTGATGGAGCATTTCATTAGCCTGCATCTGTAATGTTGCAATTATGTATTTTGAATTCGTAGCAATAATCCATAATAGACTATATTCTACTTAAATTGCTCCCAAGATAAGAGAGTGCATTATGCTTAGTTATTCGTATACATCAAAAGCATATAGAGGTTGCAACAATAGTAAAATAAAAGTTAATTATTCTGTGCCATATAGTGTTATAATAAGCATAGCTGACCTTAATTTTGTGCCTACCCCAACCTCTTTATCAACTATAATCTTTTCCCTAATTTACTTTTACAATATTTTTCTCCCAAATGAATTTGTATTTTAAACTATTAGTATTTTTTTCTCCTATTTATTTTAGTTTTCGGAATTGGAATTCCTATAAAGGACTAATTGACAACGCATTCCTGGTATATGCAAAAAACATAATTTTTAGAAGTGCAAGTACTGATATTGCTAAAGAAGTTTCTAAAAATTGGGTTATAAAAACTTTACAATTGTTAAAATTGAGTAAATGAAATATACATTTTATGTGTTTTTGCAAAAAATACATATATATAAACTTTAAATCCATAATTATTTAGAATTTAATTTATACTACTCGAACTGTTTTTCTACGCTTTTTTACCCTTTGTTATGGAGTGAATGAGATATTGGACCCTTCCTTTATAAAACGTCTATACAGAAGGTCTTAAAAAGGGTCTACTTGTTTGGCGATCACTGAACGTGCTTTCATTTACTACCTTTTGAGAAAACTAAATGAAAAATACAGAATTCCAATAATAGAAGGAAGCGGCAATAACAGAAGTCTGAAAAGACAGCAATCAAGGTTTCTGATTGCATCTCGATATTACTTTATGTTACATCATTGACATTTGCAATTTACCCAAGGATGAATGCTAGCAGCACATCATTGTAGAATATTTTAAACTACACATACCCTAGGTCATCCGGAGAGCAGAGAATATCTCGGCTGATATAAAAAAGAATGTTTTAAAAATTATCACGGTAGGTCATCATAATAACCAGGCTAACGGACCAAAAACAATCAAACCAACCAACCTATCGCTTGACTAGTGTAAACCGTTTCACTAAAAGGTCGGTAGCTATATGTGTTGTGGGTATACATCGCTACGTTTAAGAAGAATATAACAATATCCGTAAGTAGACTATACAGTTTTCACGAAAAAATTCTTAAGAGAATTTCATTAGCCTCTGAAATGTTACATGGCACTTAAAAACCCAAATAGCATACGTAGACATTTATAGTGGCTATTAGTTGTAGATATATCACCTTTGTGAATGTCTATTATATCTTTTTTGTTTTTTTTTTTTTGATAACGAACAGTCCAAAACACATTTGGTCTTAATTTCATTACTAAAGTTTTCAACTGAATTTTCTTTGTAAGATTTTAAAATGTATAGACCTCTGTATATCTCTTCCCACTGGTTCATTAAAAAATTTAATGAAAATTTGCTCGTTCTTAGGAATCTATTTGGTTAAATTAATATGCAATTTAACTTTGTTAGAATATTGTTCATAATTATTCCGTTGATATTCCTTTTCAAATGCCACTCAAAAGAACTTACGCAAGAAATTATCTTATGTAAATTCTTCAAAAATAGGACCTCTACGTAGTTGTTGAATTGAAATTTTATCGTATAGCGCAGAAATGTTTACATTTATTTTAGCTGTCCATATAAGATTACAAATATCTTCATTTATTAAACTAAAGTAAAGTGCATATATAACCTTCGCTTTACGACGAGATACCTGCCCTGCACTTCGTATTAATGGGAAAGTAATACCCCAATGCAATGTTACAAAATACTTAGGAATGCATCTCGAACGAAGGCTTACTTGGAAAAAGCATATAGAAACCAAGGTAGCCAGAACTAAACTTGCTGATAAACAAAAATTCTTAACTTAATCTCACCCATAAAGTGCAACTTTACAATACAATGATAAAACCCATACGGATCTACGGAATTGAACTCTGGAGCTCTGCTTCTCCATCAAACATTGAAAAACTCCAAAGAACTCAATCAAAAATCCTCCGGCAAATAGTCGGTGCCCCCTGGTATATAAAAAACGCAAATATTCATAGAGATCTTCGAATTGAAACAGTCACAGATGTAATTACCAGCAACACACAAAAGTACAAAATCAAACTCAGGAATTACCAAAATCCACTTGCAAACAAACTTATCCAAAGCACTGGAACCCAGCGACTCAAAAGAAACTACATAAACCCGGCTATTCAAGAATAATGTTCGACATGGAAACGAAATTGGACAAAGCTTTGGCTAAGGACAATTAATTATTTATTTTTTTTTTTTTTTTTTTAAATATTTTTATTTTAATATTTTAATTAGCAACGATAACTTATTGTTAGTTCGAAGTTTATTTTTAGAAGATTCAATAAAAACAGCAGTTACCTACTCTCTTCTTGTGTTCGCCTTTATTATTAACGCTAGCAATCAAGAACGATGAAGGGAAAAGTTTTAACACTCGTACAAAATCTTAAGTTTCAAAAAACTTTTTCGAAGGAAATCAATCCCTTAGGTACACCGAAAAGAACACACACACATATATTTTCGCCTGTCTTAAGTGGAGTAAAAGAAAGTATTTGCTCCCTCAAATTAAAAAAAAATGCTAGACATAAAATAATTTCCGCTGAAGTGCATAACACAGATCCTATAATAAGAGCACTCATTACAATACGCTATTTAACAGATGGCATAATAATCCTTATCCACAACAAAGTGGATCTGTACCAGTAAAAAATTCGTAATAAGATGCAAACAATTATTGCAAAGTATCCTTTTTCGTCACTCTCAACAAGTCAATTCTGCAGATCACGAGTCAGAGTATATTTGTGATATACCTAAGTTACTTCAAAACAAGGTCTTGGTTTAAAAATAGTTTGTGGGCGAAAGAAGTTGCTACTAAAGAGCTCGTGCATCTGTTTAACTAAGGTAGCGTATCACGCCTCAGTAGAAAAAAAGTTACGTTGTTGTCACGACCTACGTTATCATCTAAATAAGATGGAGACAGAATGACATCTATGTATGATTTGAGGTAGACGACATTCTCTGTAGTTATAAAAGGTGTTTAGCAGTAAAATTACATTTATTGTGTCATAACGAAGTACAAAAGAGCTAATTCAGATGTGTTACTAAATAAACAAATACTAAATAAATAAAAAAATTGAAATGAGCAATTTAATAAATTTAGGAACTATAAAACAATAACTTACAAATTTAATTTACTATTGTCTCCTTAGTGCAGAAGGCTGATCAATATCAAAATATTTAAAATTAATTATGTTCAATAAAAATATAATCAATATGTACATTGATCTTAATTTAAAAAAAAAATTATCTGAATTATTGGAAAACTGATAAAAAAGCACTTCAAAAAGACACTTGATTATATTTGTAATATATTTTTATTTCATTATAAAATTATATTAAAATAGTCCTTGAAGTATAGAAAGTAGTGTAAAAAATAAATTACTAGATATAATAAATTTATAATCATACTATTCGTGTACTAACAAGATTCTTCCAAAACTTTTGAAGCAATCTTCGCGAATTAGCTTAAATATTTCCTGCTACGTATGTAATTATTTTCAAAAATATAATTCAATTAAATATTCTACAAATTGTAACATATGCCTAATGTTGTATCAACAATCGGCATATCCACAGCGATCATAGAACGGAAAGAGTCGATATTTTGTTAAATAACTTCCTCAATATAAAAACAGGAGAGCAAAAATTTAGAGATCGTAAAGAGAGCTCAAGCGCTTTAAAATTGCATATGGGATTAAAATAAAACTAAAAAAAGTAACTTTTTTCTTACAAATAATCAAATTCAATGGAGCAGATCTATATATAATGCATACCATTAGTATGCTCATGATTTCATCGTCTTCTTTAAATTATAAAAGTCTACAGTTTATTTCTCAAAGCAGTATTAAATGTCTTAAATAAATTTGAGCATTGCTTTTATGATGTTTACTATAAAATATTTTATAGTTGAGATGTTGACCTTAAATTTACAAAGATCACATGTTTTATGTATGAAAATGAAGTGTTAGCGCTGCCGATTTTATCAATTAATATTTCTTATCAATTTACTATTAATTTTTATGTTTTAATTAAAATACATTTCGCTAAATTTAATTAATATTTAGCTGTCTATGGCCTATTTACCGGTACAGTAAAAAGAGAGCTTAAGAGCAATTATTAAATTAAATGCAAACTGTACAACAAACGAATAAATTCGAATTTCTTAAATACATTTAATATCGTCTTTAAGTAATAAAAAGTATCTAAAAACGGGAGAGCATTGATTAAAGCGACCGTAAACTTAACTATATTCAAACGGTAACCAATGTGTGAGCCCATTTTAACATTCCAAAAATTGATCTTTTCTGTTAAAATTATTCAAAAACTACCAAATGAATGTCTATCACTCTTAATACTCATATCAGTAAAATCAATTTGTGATTTTAAATCATAGCGTTCAATGAATCTTGTCTATTTTATGAATGTCTTGAATATCTTATGCCGATAATGAAGAATAAACGAATTGCAACTAAAACCATCGATTTGGATTCAGGAGACAATATTCGATTATTGAGCATATTCATTGAA